AGATCGGCACAGTTGTTCAAGAAGGTGGGAGTTTGTTTTCATCACTTGTCAGTATGGGTGCAAAACTATTGCCAAAACCAATGAATTTGGTTACAAAAGCTATACCTGCACTAGCAACAGGTGCTACAACAAGTTTGGGAAATTTTGCAATTGATAAAATTCTCGGCTCTGGACAGGTAGGAGGTTTCCTCATTCCAAATCTAAAATTCAAAAACTTATTGATCATAAACATTTATTGACAGTGAAACAGGAAAAAGACATATTGAATGCTCTTCAATTTGGGGGAGATTTAATGATAAAACCGACAGTGAAGCCACGTGGTTATTCTCTCGTAACTTTATTGGCTTCTATCGGTGTTCCACTACTTTTGAACGCTTTGAACGGCAAAGGTCTTCAAAACAGAATAGCTAGCGGTAAAGGTGGTGGTATGCAAAATAGACCGTATTATACCTTATTATCCATCTCTAGCTCCAACAGTACCAACGGTTGGTATGGGTACAAAATAAAAACAACAAAAAAAGACGGGTAAAGGATTGTTGCTCGGAAAAAAACTCCCCATTCAACGGAATCCCACTTGTCGGCGCAATTTTTTAAACAAACCACAGTTTGAGATTAAACCGATACCAAATTTTGACATTTTGAAGTGGATTAATTACTTAAAGATACCACAATTCAAAGGTGTCATCTCAAGAGTGCACCGAAGGTGGTTATTACATCGCTAATTTAAATGACTCAAATCAATCTGGTTCGCACTGGGTTGTAATAAACATTAAACCAAAAATCATTGAATATTTTGACAGTTTTGGGTTAAATGCTCCACAAGAATTATATTATTTGTCAGACTGTTTGAAAGTGAATATTCGATACAACAGCACACAATATCAAGATCTAATGAGTGTGTTATGCGGATATTATTGTCTGTATTTTGTAAATGAATCATACTAGGGAAAATCATATTATGATGTGGTAAAACCTTTTTCACATACTGATACAAAATATAATGAAAAATTCATAATCAATAATTTCAAAAAATTATAATCAAAATACAAGTAAAATGGGGTTTTCTGATGGTTACCATAATAAATATAAACGGGAACTACATCATCACACCAGGTCCACCAGGTTAACCTGGTCAAGGATTAAAAAAAACTTCTGATGGAAATTTCGACATTGAAAATAAACAACTCAAGAATTTGAAAGAAGCGACTGATCCACAGGATTCTTGTACAAAAGCTTACACTGACAATCACGTTCATACAGATGGGCGACGACCAATGACAGGTGCGCTCAACATGCAAGACAACACAATTATCAATGTGGCTGATCCAACAAACAACAAAGATGTGGTAAATCTACAAAAACTCAATTCTGAATTATCAAGTAAAGTTGATACATCCACTTTTACAACAGAGTTGGGGAAAAAGGCTGACTCAAGTGATTTAAACGATTACTTCAACAAGCGAAATGATAATACAATCGATGGCACTATATCTTTCAACGGTCATCTTCCAAATAGAGACAGACAGATCGTTAATCTTGGTACGCCAATAGCTAATGATAATGCAGCAAAAAAAAAA